GCCTCCTTAGTCGATTAGGTCATCCTACTCCCCCTCTGCCGAATGGGGGGGTTTTAAAAAACAAATCCGTCGATATTTAGTCGACTAAATATCGATACTTAGTCGACTAAATATCCCAAAAATGTAGTCGATTAAGATGATTTTTTTAGTCGACTAAATTTGCGGTTGTCCACTTTCTGAAGATTGACCATTTGCTCGACTAAAACAGCAAGGTAGTCGACTAAAAGGGGGCAGGTTGGTGGATAGTTCTTGATCAGGGGCAAATTGGTTATTAATTAATTAATGAGGGGCAAAAGGGTCAAAAAGCCTAAGAAATAATGTTGAGTTTCCAAGCAAAAGGTATAAGCTAATTTTTTAGGAAAGTAATTATCAGACATAATGAAAAGTAAAAGGCTATAAAAATATCTTATGACCATATGCATGTAATTGGTACCTCTGCTGAGAGGAAAATAACCCAATTGGAGAGTGTAATTAATAGTAAGATATAAGAAATTGAGAAAGATTAGACACTCGAACCTCAGTATTGGTGCTCAAAATGCTATTGACTCAGAACCTAATTATATTGTGGTCATAGCATACTGGCCATTGATTGCACATGAAGTGAATTATGCTGAATTGAGGATATGGATTTACAAATGATGTCCCCTCAAATGCCTCCTTGAAGATGTGTAAGACTTCCTTGCAATTAGGTTTGAATGTAAGGAATACGTTAGAGATATATTCAGCATTTCAAATCAAAAGCATGCAAATAACAAACCCAGGTAAATTAATCTGTCGCCTCCATTAAACAAACAATAATTATGGTAATTTTTTTAATGGAAAAATCGAAGAATCAGAGAGAAAAATACATCATATCCGCAATGGCTCCTTTTGAAGATCGATCTATACATCATATTATAATTTTGACAAAGAGAGATGTGAGATGGGTTTCAGGAAGAGGCCACCTTTTGTTGGATATTTGACAAAGACAAAAGCGGCAAAGCGCACTTGGCCAAGGGCCAGAGGTTTGGATGACGACCTTGGCGGAGGAGAGGGTGGATGGAGGTGAAGCGATTTGGGAACGAGCAGAGAGGGAGAAAAGAGCCTAGGAGGCCAATAGATGTTAGGAACGGTAACAATGAACAAGTAAACGATTGGGAATGAAGAAAATTACACTCTGCCTCATAGCGCGAAAAAGAAATTTCACTCATGCCCGTTGTTGCTAAAACTAGAGCCTACTAGAAACTGTAGGGATGAACAAAATCCTAAAAACGTAAAGTAAGAGTCTACTTCATACAAAACAAAACTAAATATCCAATATGGGATATATTTTTCTTATGTTGTAGGAAAAGAATTACCTCATGTTGTAGAAATAAAAGTATAAGTGGGACCCACATGTAAGAGGAGAGAGAAAAAAAAAAGTGGTGGGACCCAACCCTTTTTGTGTGTGTAGGAGAGATGTTTATCTCATGTAAAATGAGATAAACATAACTCATCCAATATATATAACTCCAAAACACATCAATACATAACTTATCACATATAAGTCTATACAAAGGAAATAAAATTATAAAAGAGATCCAACATCTCTAATTTATGACAAAATAGATGTGACCAACAAAGACGCTAAGTGCAAACACGAACATTAAAGACTCGAATAGAGTTCATTTTTTATTTTCTTATTTTGGGGAAAACTGATTTTTTTTTTAATATCGTCGACTCAACCGAATTTAAGGAGTTGACTTGCCGTTTCAACCGAGTCAACTCAGTTTCCATTTCTACCATCATTTCAACACATTTCTGGATCTAAAAACATAGAAACGACCGAGTCAACTCTACATTTTAACAACACTGCTCGTGTCCCTTTTTGACATACTTTTAAGAGAGTATAACAACCAATTAAAATTTCGTAATAGTTATGAGAATTACTCAAATTTTCAATATAGTAGTTTTTTTCTAAAAAAAATATTAGTGCTTTTACAGAAAAAAAATTAACACTTTAAAAGTAATAAAAAAATATTAATTATTTTTTAAATTTCAATTTTTTTTTATATTTTCATTGAATGTAATAAGAAAAGATTTATTGAGAAAAAGGTTAATTTGACCATATAAAATAATAATTTTTAGAAATTTAAAATATTAAAAAAAATTAATTTATTATAAAAATTCAAAAAATAATTTTTTAAAATAAAAAATATTTAATTTGCTCTTGTATAATACCTTTATTCAGTGGTGAAGTCACTCCTATGCCAGCAGGTGCCTTGGCACGTGCTTGGTTTTAAAAAAAATTACTTGTTATATATAAATATATAATTAATTATAATTAACTAAGATTAAATTTGTAATTTGGCACCACCTAAATAAATATAATTATATTTATGTTTTTCAATCAGAAAAATAAAACCCAATACCCAAACCTTTTTACCTAACCCATCAATTAAAATTACTTTCAAAGTCTTAATTTGTGACTTACAATTGCAATCATAATAAAGGCTCAAATTATTCTCAAAGAAGAGATGCTACTTACTTAAAATAATTCGTAGTGAAGGCTCAAATTACTCTCAAAGAGAAGATGCTACTGCAGTTTATAAGATGATCAATTCTTTTAAATTTATCTTTAATTTATTTTTGATGAAAGAGATAATGAGCATCACTGAAATTCTTTTTCAAGCATTACAACAAAAATCTCAAGATATTTGAATGATATACAATTAGTTTCAAGTACAAAGTAACTTATTCAAGAATTACGAGATTCTATCCTTGAAGATTTTGTCAGTTTAAAAGAGCGTCGTTTACAATTTTAGGTATGCATTTTTCTATTATATTTTAAATTATTTATTAAATGTTATTAAGCATATATTTATTATATTTGTGTGTTTTCATATCCTTAGGACAATGCTTGGTCCATTACTTATTGGGATAGGTTATTCTACCTACTATTTTTCTGCCTACCTTTGCTTACCACTCTTCAATACCATTGGATCAGAATCTCAATTACATTTATTATTTCTTTCTCTTATTAAGATTCTGATCTAACGATGTTGGAGAGTGATAGGCAAAGGTAGACAAAAAAAATGGTAGATAAAATAACTTATCCCCTACTTATTATGTTGTGAGAGGAAAGTGAAATTCTTATGTTTGAAATGCTTATCGAAAAGGTTAGTGCATTTTTATATATTTGCTTTGATATATAATCATTGATAATTGTTCATTTGAATTTTCAATGTTACGTGATATTATTTAATACATAATTTAGATAACTATGTTAGAATTTATAGTAAATTTTTTTCCTGATTAGTTTGTGTAATTATAATAAATATTTTAATAATTTAATATGTTAAAAAAATTTGTCACCACCTAAAATTTTGATGTGGCTCCGCCACTGCCTTTATTGTATATTATTTGCCCTTATACTTAACGGGGGGTTTAGATTGATTATTAAAATAAATATTTTATATATTAAATAATTTCGATGGAAATATTTTCGCCTATAATTTGGACAGAAATTTCAACTCTCTATGAAACGTTTACGTCTCTAATTGTGATGAATTTAATTAGAGATAGAATTATATATTTTCATTTGTACTTTTGTCGCTGATAAAGTTTTTCCATCGCTAATTTATGTTAATAATACCAATTCACAAAATTAGCGATGATCGGTTAGAAACGATCGTGTTTTTTTTTTTTTCATTTCAAATTCTGTCATCATTAATGATGAAAAATATTTTCCTTTCTAATTATGTCTCTATTAGAGATGAAAAATAATTTCATCCCTAGATTTATCCCCGTTTATGATCAAATTATTATTGTCACTAAATTTATTTTTATTTAAAATAGAAATATTTTTTGTCAAAAATTCCATTGATATTTTTTATGTAATTATTATGTCTCTACTTTCTGTCGCTAATATATGTTTTTCTAATAGTGAATGCTTACTAATATTTTAAAAAAAAATTAAAGTTTTTTAAAGTTATTTTTTAACTCTTTGAAAAATATAGAATTTCTTTTTTTGAGGATTTATTTTCTTTAGGCTAAGGAATAATATAAAATAATAATATATTTTCACCTACTATTTTTTTTTAAGTTATTAAGTTGTATTGGTTCTTTCTATTTTTTCAAAAGAATAAATTATCTAATTATTATAAAACACTTAAAAAAACATGATTTTTTTTTAAAAAAAACTACGAAGTAATCAAAATAAACACAAACAAACATATTCTTAATTAAAGAAACTAACCGACTACCAAAAAAAAAAAATTTGGAATACATCGGTAGAAATTAAACACATAACCTAATATATCCTACTTAAACCATTCACCACTATACCAAACCTAATAACTTAACACAAAAAAAAAAAAAAAAATACTAACCAGTCACCCCAGAGTTTGACATCTGACATTAGCTTGTATTTGTGTTATGTATATTGTATAAAATAAGATCCTAAATTGAGATTATAATATTGAAATACGTTGAGAATATTATGGTTTTGAGAGTATTTGTGACAATCATATTTATCTTCATATACTTTTAGGCTGACAGATGAATTCTTGTGAGACTTTGTCGTTCCAAAAGATAACAAGCCGGCGCAGTGCAAGATCACTGTTGGATCCTTACGTCGCCATAACATAAAGGCTTTCCACATGGCGCTTTCGTTTGTGTTTTGCCTCCAATTATATTTTTGGGGGCAGAAAAAATTAAAAAAAAAAAACGGGTAATCAAATATTCAGTCAACACATGTCATAAAATCCAAAAAATAAAATAAAAATGGGTAATCAAATACTTAATCAACATAAATAAAAGAAAGAAATTGTCTACCAAAAAAGGAAAAACCGTGTGATTAAGACTCGATTACTCATCAATTGGCTGTTGTATTCAAGGCGCTAGCTATATACACAAAACCTTCTACCTGACCCTTCATTCGCCTCCAAAATAATAAATTCTCCAACTCCTAATTCATTCAGCTTCTGTAACTGAAAACAACAAGATCGCGCAGGTACCGAGCCTCTTAGTTTTACAAAAAAATGGCCAAAGTTTCTAGGTCAAGACATGAAACAATTGACCAAGAGACAGCCATGTCCTGGCCCAAGCACAAGAAAGAAAGCAAATGTTTCGTGTACATGTTAGCTGCCTTTGTCATCTTTTGTGCAGGTCTATTGGTTTTTGCATGCGTAATGCGTGTGAATAATCCAGATGTCAAATTAACGTTAGCTACGCTGAATCAAATTAGTTATAGGGCTTCACCATCATCTTCTTTTAACGCTAGTATGATCATCCATCTCAGAATCAAGAACCCAAATCATGGTGGCTTCCGTTACGAGAATAGCAGTGTGAATTTGCTATATCGGAATGTAAGGGTCGGTGGTAGGGTAATCCGCAGTGACAGAGTGAAGGCCAAAGAAACCAAAGAAGTGACTGTTCCGATGGACGTGAGGTCCGTTAAGTTGCCCGTTAACGTTGCTGGGATTCTTTCTACGGAAATCAATTCAGGGACGTTGAATCTCACAAGTTATGCCAAATTTAGTGGCACGGTTACACTGCTGAAGATTATCAACAAGAGAAAGACCATAGAAATGGCTTGCATCATGAATTTCAACTTGATCTCCCACTCAATTCAGGGTATCCAATGCTAATCACAACTTTTTCCCCTGCTCTTTTCTTCTTCTTTTTTTCTTTTCACTATGTTTGATTTTGATTTTTGTTCTCCAAATTTTTAGTTACGAATTTGTCACGTGAAGTCTAATTCAACTTGATGTTGATACACTATTGATTAGTTTTTTCTTGCCAAATTATTTGTATGATTTTTTTTAATATAAAGATTCATATATTAGAATATGGGAAATGATACTGTGACAACCAAGTTGTGTTACTACCAAGTGACTATCAATCAATCTTACCGTTAGATCGATTATATTGATTCAACGGTTATATTTATTTCCATCTTTGTATGGTCATCATTCCCCAAATTTAATACTTTATATTTATTTTTATTTTTGTATGGTTATGATTTCCCATTTTTAATGCTTTCACTTTAAATATGGGAAATCATGACCATACAAATATGGAAATAAATATAATCGTTGGATCAACATAATTGATCTAACGGTGAGATTGATTGGTAGTCACTTGATAGTAACACAATTTGGTTATCACAATATCCTTCTCCTTAGAATATAATAAAAGTATCTTAAAATATCTTGATTGTTTATTCGAATGTTTTTAGAATATTGTTCGATGATCTTTTGGAATTAAGGTTTTATTTCCATATATTTGATGATTTGTTTCAAGAATTATCTTTTATATCACGTCAATCAATGATATCCCATCACATTATAATAATAAATTTTATTCAGTCGCTACTTTCTCTTTTCTCATTCTCTACCGCCTTATAATTTTAAGGTTATATCAAAATTCAAATATCGCGACCCTATTTGTGAAATTAAAATAAGCATAAATTTAAATTAAAAAAATAAATTAAAATTGAACCTATGCAATTTTCACGTTTCAAGTTCAAAGAACTCTTACGTGAGGAAAGTTTATTATAATATAAACGATTAAAAAACATCTTTCGCCCAACATATTAAAAAGTATCCAATCTAAAAACTACAGCTAGATTGGATGCTCTTGATATGGATGCTAGCAATAGGAATTCCTTGGAGGCACATGCATTTTTGCAACTTCTAGGGGGTGTTTGGTTGAGGAGAAATTTTTTGAATACTAGAAAAATATAATTGATAGGGAAATGGTTGGAAAGTGAGTTTGGTAGAAAAATTGAAAAAAAGTTGTTTGGTTGACCAAAATTTTACTGGGGAAATTGAGTTAAATTTTGTAAGTCTATGTTTGGATGAAGATAAAATATTAATGGGAAAATGAGTTACAATTACCAAAATAACCCTTTTAAAATTTTTGAATTTCAATAACCCTCTACCAAAAACGTACATCCATGATGCATTGAGTAATTGGTCTTTACTTCAGTGATAAATTCTTTCTCTCACACTCACTGGATGTCTCATCTTGAAACATCTCAAATGAAACAGAGAACCCTCTTCTCTTCTTCTCTTATGAACATGTGAGTACAAATAAAAAGTGTTATAACAATACATCCATATATTGATGACCATGGAATATTGTTTGTTCAAAAATAGCACTTAACAATATACCATGTGTGCATGAAAAGAAGCGATTCCTGCATGAGAAAAAAAAGTAGCAGTTAAAAAAACCTAACGTTAACGAATATAAATAAAAAAACACTTCATTGCCATTTTTTTTTGTCTTTACCTATACCAAGGAGTGATGTTATCTCATAGTAGACAGAAGGAAATTCACGACATTAATCTTTGAAATACTTCCTTGTAAATTATATTAAGGGTACTATTTGTAATACAACCGTTTTCATTAAGTATCAATATCTTTAATCCATGCTTACTCTTTACTCTAGACAGTGTCACATATAATTACCCATGAGTGAAGACAGACTTGGGGAGATAAATTGCAACATGAGAAAGAGATTGTCCTTGGCTCTTATTGATAGTTATGGCAAATGAAACAATCAGGGGGATTATCTTCTTTGGAAATTTATAGGAATGTGTGACTTGATGGGCTCATCGTCATTCTAAGTTTTTATATTTTATCTCAGAAATGAACTTTCATTTACTACAATCAGATTTATAAAATAATAATAAATTATTATTATTTTTGGAAGGATTTGTGTCGTTAGTCTTTGGAATTTCACAAATTTGTATTTACAAAAATTGAAATCAAATTTAGTAATTTAATTATAAAAAAATAAGGATAAAATTTCAGTTAAATTATAAAAATATATTGGCGGGCCGGCCCTCCGGGCCGAGGTCAGTTTTCCACCTCTAACTGACAGCACTTTATATAAATATTTATTTTTTGCAAGGATTAGTGTCGTTAGCCTTTGGAATTTCACAAATTTATATTTACAAAAATTAAAATCACATAATTTTCCATTTAATTTATTTCCAGATTTTGAATTTATTTTACAATATAAATAATTTTGTTATTTTACAATTTTTTTAATGTTTTTTGTTTTTTTATGCAGCATTAATACGACTAACAAATATCCATGCAAAAAATAGTGGGACATTGAATAAGTTGTCTGCCACCATAAATGATTAACTTATTTTTTTCATTGATTTTTTATTTTGATTTTTTTTAAAAATTATTATTTATTTAATATTTTATTTCCAGATCATTTCCCACCATTACAATTTGAAATTTAAAATTGAAATTCAAAATTTGAAATAAATTCAGAATTCGAATTTCAAAAGAGTTATCAATTTCAATGCAGAAAGCATTTAAAAGAGCTTAGTAATTCCAATGTACAAATCAGTGGGACATTGAATGAGTTGTCTGCCACCATAAATGATTAACTTAATTTTCCATTGATTTTTTAGTTCAATTTTCAAAAGAAATTATTATTTATTTAATTTTTTATTTCCAAATCCTTTTCCACCGTTACAATTTGAAATTTAAAATTGAAATCCAAAATTTGAAATCAATTCAGAATTCGAATTTCAAAAGAGTGAGGGATGAGAAGAAAATCGAAATACGTGCATTAAATTTTATAGGTATTAAATTTTAATAATTTTTTTTTTAGAGAATCATAGATGTAATTTTTAAATTTTTTATTAAAATTTAAAATTTAAATTCTTTTATATTAATTATACCTATTTTTTTTAAAGTAAGTTTTTTCTCTTTTAATTTAAAATTTTATATTTTTAAAATTGGTTATACATATAAATTAAAAACGTTTATATTAATTTTTTATTTAAAAAATACTCATACGAAAATTTTTTCTTTTTTTGAAACTTTTTTTAAGTTAAATTTTTAATTTATTTTCTTTTAAAGTATAAATATGTCATTTCATTTTTTTTCATTTAATTTCCAAATTTAAATTATTTTGTATTAACTATATTTAAATTTTTATAATTTGAAACATTTTTTTTGTTTAATCTATAATTTTCTCTTTTAAATTTTAATTGTGTTTTGGTAAGAAATTGATTGACTAGTAAATGGCAGCTTATGGTGTGTTGTTATGTCTGATTCTTTAATCAGTCTTTTAAAATTTCTTTCACTATATAATTCAAAATTTGAAACCATTTCAAAATTCAAATTTTAGATCAGATGAGCAATTCCAATGTAAAAAGCAATTAAAACAGCTGAGTCATTCCATTTCAAAATTCAAATTTTTAGATCAAATGAGCAATTAAAACAGCTGAGTCATTCCATTTCAAAATTTGAATTTTAGATCAGATGAGTCATTCCAATTAAATGAGCAATCAAAATTTGAATTTCAAAATTCCAATGTAAAAAGCAATTAAATCAGATGACCAATTCCAATGTGACGGGCAGTGGGACATTCAATGACTTGTCTGTCACCACAAATGGTCATTTATTTTTTGATTTAAAAAATAAAATTCAATTTTTAAAAGACAACGCCAACATTAATGTTATGGTGAATTGGTTACCAATGGTATTACTATTTTTAAAATGACAACTCAATTCTCAATGTAAAAATACATGACCACAACGCCAACTTTAATTATCATTATATATATATATATATATATATATATATATATATATATATTCTGCAACTTTTATGTTACATTGAAGGAATATTCAGGAATCATAAATTCACATAATTTGTTTTTCTTGCCGTTATTATTATGAGTTTAATTAGCAACATTTAACAGAAAGGAGTTGCCTTGAAATATTAAACGAATATTCAGGAATAATAAATTCACATAATTTGTTTTTCTTGCCGTTATTATTATAAGTTTAATTAGCAACGTTTAACAGAAATGAACTGCCTTGAAACATTAAACATAATACCGTAAATACACTAAGAAATTAAATCGAAATATTTAAAAAATGAAATTTCAAAAACAAAATCGAAATCATATTTTGAAATTTTAAATAGAAATCACATCTTGTTTTAAAAGAGCTGATCATTCCAACGTAGAAATCATGATCAGTTTGAATTTGAAATTTGAAAAGAGCCTCTCAATTCAATTTTAGAAATTATCATCATTAAAGTCTGACATGAAACAACTAAGTGGGACAGTTGGGCATTGAATGAGGTGTCTGCCACCACAACTTAATAAAACTTTTTTTTTATTTGTTTCGTAATTTATATTTACAATTTTAAAATGTTTAACAATATTTAATAATTTGAATTTGCCAAAGAATGAAAGTTTTTAAGGGGTAGTGGTGTGAACAGAAAATACTATCAACTTGTAAAATAAAAGGAGATTTCCAATTTTCTCCATTTAAATAAAATTAATGACGATTTCATTATTTTTCTTTATTTTTCAAATAAATTTTGAGTCGTTACAAATGCTAACATTAAACCACTAATAAATTATAGATATTTATACCTTGACATTAGGGGTGGAGTGGGGAACGAAACAAACATGAACAAAGGCTACGTATACACCCGAAAATACAAAGTATTAAATTTTAACATTTCAAACAAACATTGCATGTAGAGAGACGAACACAACCACTTATTTTGAAGTGAGATCCCTTGATCAAATGCTTCTTTTTGTCACCATAACCTTCAAGCCATGTTTCATATGAAGGAAAACGGACATACTTGGAGATA